GGCGTAATCGGGCCTGCCACATCCGTGTGGATAATCTCTAACAAGTCTGTTGCCCGTCGTCTTTGATTTCCAAAAGGTAGATTTGTCATTTTGTTCATCAAACAAACTTCACATTGCACGTAACCCTCGCCTAAAGTGATAGGTAACCCATCTACAACCCTATGCTTGCACATTTCATTTAGTTTCTTAAAGTTAGGGTGCCCAAGTATTCTGTGCCATTTTTCTTTTTCTGACATAATGTTACCACTTGTGTATGCTACTGTACCTGCACCTAAATTAACTCTGCCATCTAATTCGTACAATTTATTTTTCTTGCGTGCGACGGCCATTAAACCTATATGTACATTATATATATTTGCTATTTCTCCTCTAAATTGAATTGTATTATTTCTATTTACAATGCATGAAACGCTTAATAAGTTCTTTTTCATATTTGGAACATAATATACATTTGAAACATCAATTTTATTTGACTTACCTCCTGCTTTACAGTACATTGGTACATTTCCTATTTTCTCCGACTTAAGACCAAATCCATCACCTACCTTAATATTCACAGGTGTTTCTAAAATTTTATAATCACGAAAGAATTTATCGTCATTTACGATGTGATCGCTACATCCGCTGTCCAATAACCATGTTATATCCGCTTTCGTTTCGGTAGTTCCTGTCATCGCTTCTACTTCTACGTTGAATCCAAATCCATCACTGGTGCTGCTACTTTGTCCTGTATTCACGCTTCTATTGTTGTATCCTCCTCTATATCCTCTCTGAGTTCCTCGTCGTCCGCCTCCATATCCGCGCCCTCTACCACGACCATGACCACGACGTGCTAACTTAGGACAATCCCTCCTGTAGTGTCCGAGGCGGTTGCATTCAAAGCAGTTATCATTATTCCTGGACCCATCTTGGTGTTGATTTGATCGAGAACTGAACGTATGAGCTTCTTGTTCGTTCTGTTTTCTTTTCATTTCAAGTAGTAATTTGGACTTCACGTACTCCACTGTCCGATCCTTTGTCGGCATCGCATCAACAATATTTACAATATGTGCAAAACTCTCAGGTAATGCAAGCAATAAATAGTTCAGTCTATCCTCTTCCGACACGACTTCTCCAGCATTTTTCAATTCATTGATTTGTTTTTCAAATGTTTGTATGAATTCTAGTATATCGTCGCCATCTTTGAATTTTGTTTCTAGTACTTTCCTTTTAATTAATAATTTATTAGCACTGCCTTTTACTAAATACATCTCGTCCAATTTTTTAATCATTTGGTAAGCCGTACTTTCATTCATTATTATATCGAGCTGAGTATTATTTACGCTATTCACTATAATATTTCTTGCCTTTAAATCAATTTTTCTCCATTCCGTGTCTGTCATACCTTCATGTTTCATATCATTTTCCACAGCTTCTTGGCATTCTTTCATTTGTAACAACAACTTTAATCTAAATTTCCATTTTTCATAATTTGCACCATCAAATATCTGAATGCCCACTTCTCCTATCTTTACTTCCATTTTCGGTACCTTACGTCTTCAATTGTTTCGGTACTGACCTTGTCAAATAATTTCCACTTATCTTCCTCTTTCTATTTATTTTATTCAACCACGCTCCTTTGCTACCATGTTGAGGAAGTGGATCGTAGAAAGGAAAGACAATCAGCTCGTAATATTTAGTTTATGTAGTTCCAATCACATTTTACACTTTATAGGTATACACCGTTGACGTATTTGCAAAAGTCCTAGAATGAAGTAACGGTGACATAGAGAACAGGCCATCGAGTCGCCCTAACAAGAAGGTTTTACATAAAATCATATCTTCAACAAAAATCACTTCCCGCGTGCCACTACGATTTACTTTACTCATTTTTAGCCCTTTCTGCGTAGTTTCGTCTTAATTTATTACAGTTTAATCCAAACAATAAAAAATACAAAAGGAAAACCACAGACCAATAAGAGAGCAAGTAGGAAAACTGTTCCACAACTAGCGGTGGGCGTTTAAACGAAAAGCGCTTAAATAAGCGCGCTTAAAATATTAAGCTTGTAAGCACGCTTTTAAGTATAAGCGTTATAAGCTTTTCACTTAAAAAGTGTGAGTAAGCTTTTCACTTAAAAAAGTGCAAGTATATTTTTTACTTAAAAAATGGTTGCCTGTAAAGTCGGTTTTACGGGCGAAGATTTTACGTGACAACGTCTTTTTCTCGGTAGAATATTTATTGATATGAATATAATTAAATTGCACAATAGGAACAAGGAATTGAATGAAAATAAGAATTGCACAAATTTTAACTATAGAAATATATTTTGTTTACTAAAACATTGTACATGTAAACTTAAACTTAACACGAGAGACTCATCGTAACGTTACCGAGCGTTACACTTTTTCATAAGTGACTCCCAGCCGCAACCTAATTTAAGACGTTGTCACGTCAAAAGTGCAAATCCCGCCATCTATGTCTTTGCCAGGAAACTACATACTTCGATCCTTCTAGTCCACTACAGTATCGAAAAATGGGTACGCGGAATTCCTTGGAACTAAATATTTCACAATATCAGACAGAACGCGCGACTACAGCGCCGCGTCGACGTGCCATCGTTCGTGAGCCGGTTAATACAGCATGCGAATTATTATAATGCGACGTAAAAAAATGCACTTTTTTTAAATTTGGTCGGATAACCAACGCTTTTTTCGTTAAAAGCGTTTAATTAAACGAAGTCGAAAAGCAGTACGCTTGTCACTGTGACGGGGTAAGAGCGCGTGGGTGTTGTACGGTGTGTTTGCATGCTTGCTTGTGTTAATGCGTTTCGTGTATTGGTTTAATGTGCATATAAAATAGTTAAAAGTATGTATATAAAATCAATGAACTTTTAAGTACGCCTGGATCACGAGTATATTAACTCCAGACAGTCCTAAGCTTGTAAAGTTCGAAGGAAAGTTCATTGACTATTATAAAAATGTTTATTATAAAATCTAAATTCATTGAAAATCTTTCGTTTTTAATGCCAATCAATTCATTAGGTTTAAAAAAACATTTTAATAAAAAATTTCATTAATAAGAAGTAAAAACGCAATAAAACACTTAAACACATTAAAAACGACAAGAAACTTTTCACGCTTTTTTAAACGATATACCTAAACGAAAACACAACACAACGTCGCGCTTTTTACGCATGCTTTTAAACGTTTAAGCCAATAAGCGCTTAAACGAAAAAGCTTTTTTTCAAGCGCGCTTATTTTAAAAAGTACAACGTTTAAATGCTTTTAAGAAATAAGCCGTTTTTTCCATCTCTATCCACAACTGAAACTCGATGACAGCTGATGTACATAAGTTTGGTGTTGCCAGACACATGAATAATGTTAGTTCCTCAAACATTCATGTCACGACTTTATAGACAAACTGTTGCGATTCAACTAAGAATAGGACCGACTGGGCGCCATATTGTGATGTCATAGCTGTCAATTCAAACCAAATAGGTAGAGTGAGCAAAAAAAGTTTTTATTTAACAAAACTTATTTACTAAGATTAAGTGAGAAAAAGCATCAGATTTTTTTAATAACATTTATTTACTAAGATTAAGAAAAAAAAACAGCGATTTTTAATATAATTTATTTATTAAGACTGTGAGAAAGAACAATAATCAGAATCTAGCTCTTCTATTCCGCTCATCTATGCATTACCGCCGGAGTAGTTATGAATAATCATGCACTATTACTAGGTCACATACGAGCATGCATCCTTTATGTAAACGAAAGTTTGAAATCGAGTTTCTAAACGCAACTTAAAGTGACATTTGGTTGACGATTTAGGTATCAACCATTCATGGCCAAAGCTCAATAAGTGAAAAAAAAAACAACCGATATTAATAATCAATATTTGTTATTGTTTGTTTACAAATGTTTGGTTTTTATTCTTCAATTAGCGGAGTGCTAAAAAAGGGTTCCAAGATTTTTTTTCCAAACTGTATTTTTCAAGCGACATTTGACAGATAGAGGTCATTGGCTTTCCTATTCTTATTTGAATCGCATTATACACATTCACCTTTATCATAAGTGTAATATATGTGTAAATGTAACTTTTTATACTTAAATGTTTGATTCAGGGGCATAGATTTTGAACAATGTCTAAGCTAAAAAACTCAAGTAGAATTTGTGAAAGTATACTAATACAAATGGCGAACAAATTCAAGCTAAAAGCACTCAATGAATTATGCTTGCTATCAAGTCCAATATTATTTGAACGGTTAAAATATCTGAAAATACAGGAGATCATATTAAGAGTTTAATTATAATCGACTGGTACGTACACACCTCCAGAGAAAAAAAGGAAAGATTTTACTAATAATACATATATTTTTTTGTAAATGTCGCTTCTTCTGATCAAACTTGCTAAATCTAAAGAAAATATAACTAGAAAAAATTCCACGCGGACCAGGCAGCAGACGGGACTCGAACCCGCACCCTTCGCTATCCGGGCGAATGCACTGACCAATTATGCTACCGCGGCCCTGACGGCCGCGTCGAAATTCCTCTAGCCATTCTTAAGCTGCATATTTTTAGAAGTATTAAACATTTGAAAGAAGAAATAGAAACTGGCGTCGATTCTGGCGTGATTCTCTAAACTTAAAACTAAATTTAACATCAGTCTCTCCTTTTCATTCTGTATAGAGAATGACAAGGAGATACTGCTGTCTAATTTAAGTTTAGGTTTAGAGAATCATGCTAGAATCGACACCTTTATAGTTATAATTTTTATTTTTTTAAGCATGTAACTGCTTGATGTTTAAATCTAAAGAAAATTTATCTTGAAAAAAATCCACGCGGACCAGATATCTGAGTAAGCTTTTTGTTACGCCCCGCTATGGCCCGCTAGCCAAACAAAATGTGCGTGAACCTTTACAAAACAAAGAAAAAACAAACTAGGCATTATAAATATTGATTTCTTTGAAATCGTAACTGGGGAGAATTTTAAAACCAAAATTTATATACATTTTCAATATGGCTGACTTTTACCGGTCGGTTGGACTGATTTGTTGTAAAATTGAAATATAAAAGTCATTGTTACTTAAATTGACTGATCTTTTATGTAGACGGTTTTCTGTGTTTATCCTATTATATAATAATTATGGAAGCACTTATTCCAGTTATCAATAAGTTGCAAGATGTATTTAACACAGTAGGAGCGGATGCCATTCAATTACCACAAATCATAGTTTTAGGAACCCAGGTAAATATTTATAATTTATTTGGTTCCATGAAACAAGTTATTTTTGAAGAGTTATTACTGAAGAACTAATATCTTCCTGTATCCTAAAATGGTTATGTAAACTGTGTCACTGGAGGTCTTTGCCCTATATCAATAATTTGCTCTATTGTCGTCATTGACCATGCCCCTATAATCTTATTTGTTGTCTTTAGGAAACCTTTGAATTTTTCAATATATCAATTCGAAATAGAACAGTTGCAATGCAATATCTTGTATTTCATTGTTATTGGAGTTGATAATATACAACACTAATAAAACCAAAAATATATCCTAGTCAGTGGCGAGTCACGATAGATCTTTTAGGTCACAACAACTACAGTTCCATTATGAATGCATACCTCCAAAAATCTGAAATAATATATTCTTGCCTAAAGTACTTGTATTTTTTACTTTTTAACTGCCTTACAATCTTTTGGCTTTTTTTACAGAGTTCTGGTAAGAGTTCTGTGATTGAGAGCCTTGTGGGGAGGTCTTTTCTTCCTAGAGGTCCAGGTATAGTTACTAGAAGACCTCTAATCCTACAACTGGTGTATAGCCCAAAAGACAGTAAGGAACATCGCTCGGCAGAAGAAGGTTTGATTAATTATATTATAATCTCTTTATCATTTTATTTATATGATCCCTTTCAGTTAGTTCAATATTTCATTTTTAATGCACATGCATTCCATAAATTTATAATATAAAGCAATAAACGACTATGAGATGACCTTATAAATATTTATGTTGTTTTAATTTATAAATCTTCCTATTATCTCTGCACAATTCCTTTGTAGTTGTCAGTCAAGGCCACCTTAACCACAGTACATTGATCTTCATTGTTATTTATTATTGATTGTATTGTAATTAACATTATATTTCATTTTCATCATAGCTAATATATAAATAGTTACAATGTAAGTACATTTGTTATGAATCAAGATGTTTGCAAAATGTCATTACATCTGCAGTAAAAGTAAAATTATCTAGTTGTATTTACTTTATTTATATTAAATAAAATGTTTGTAATGTAGTATTGAGACGTCAGGATACTGAGGGTACATCATGGAATCCTATAGCTCAACTTACAGATTCAATATTTTCAAAAGGTTTGTATTAAACGAAAATGTTATTCTATGTGTGTCCATAATAAATATAGATTTGATGATGGCACAACATAACTCATTCACTCTTTACTTTGCAGTCTTCATTGGTTAAAATTGAATGCATTTTTTTCATTCCAAGAGTTACCTCACTATAAAATACTTCTTGTCAATCTACTTGTTCGCCATTGCCAAGTAACATCTCTGGCTAAATTTTATGTTTAATTTCATTACTTAACATTGTATTCGATAAAAAATAGATTTCATGTAATTTAATGACTAGACCTATGTTTGTTTATAAATCAAATATGCTGAATTTTTTCAGCAAATTATGTCATTTAGCACACAAAAAGCGCCCATTGGTTCATTACATTTTATATGATCGGGAATAAAACAGTTTGCTGTTTTATTTGGATTACATTTAATTATTTAGTATAAATCTCCTAAAAAATTATGATTGAATTATATTTTTGTGAAAGTTATTATCTGTTTGCTTTAGGTACTATCAATTTAGAAGAATGGGGCAAATTCCTTCACACAAAAGACAAAATCTACTCCGATTTCGATCAAATAAGACAAGAAATTGAAAGGGAAACAGATCGCATGGCTGGAAGCAACAAGGGCATTTGTCCAGAGCCAATAAACTTAAAAATATACTCTACCAGAGTAGTTAACCTTACACTTGTAGACCTTCCTGGTGTCACTAAGGTGAATATGTTTCTTTTAATTATTATAACATATGGAAAACATTTAACTGTTTTGGTTTTAAGTGAGGAAGGGGATAGTATTTTCTTCCACTTAAATTGCATTGTCAGTCTGAGAAAATAACATCTATCTAACAAGACAGCAGAGCCATAGCAATGTCTGTGTTAACTGTTGGTGTTAAAAGTATCTAGGGCTCCACAGGTTATAGTGGCATATATTTTGCCACTCAGTTCTCTTTGCATCATCAGCAATGGATTAATTTGCTCTTTGCAACACAGAGCATTATACTAGTTTTCTGCACCTTGTATAAAAATGCTTCAAGTAATTCTGTATTGGAGTTCCATTGTAGAACCTTCACAATTCAATGCAGTGATTTGTATAAAATAAGTCATTTTATGGTTTAAGATGTATGGTTTTATCAAATACATGTAATTGTCATTGTCCTTATCAAACACCAAATCCATTTTCCCTCCGGACATCTGAGGTGATCAGACGTGTGTACGCAAACCCCGTATTTTTCGAAATTTATTTAAATTTAATAAGTGATTATTGTTAATTTTTAAGTGAATAATTCACAATAAATCAAGAACGCAATATTGGGAGTTCATAAGTGCACGGAATTCAACTGGCTAATACCACACTAATACTACGTGAGTGCATCTTTTCATTCATCTCACTCAATACGGTGACGGGTCTAGTTACAGTGGACGGAAAGGTGATTTGTACCAAATCGTCGCGACCATTCAGAATAAGTTGACCTCCGACGATCTTATTGCTTTAAAAACTTCTACAAAGCTCTTGGGCCCTAGTACAAATTAACTTAACACAACTAAATAATGCCGCTGCGTCACTCCCCCCCTACTAAAGCGAGTAGCGTGTCACACGAAGATACAAGCGTATCCGCTTTGCCGGCAGCAGAGGCGCAGGCGCAAGCTCGTGTCGAGATTCACAGAGAAATTTCGGCACAGAAAATTTTAATTAATGCATCAGATTGCGACTTGCAGTGTATGTCGGATGACCCATCAAATAATCATTACAATACATCGCAGCGTCAGAAGAGAAAGCGAACTAATACGTCAGAAATGCAGATATCCCATTTTATGACAGAAATGAGGGACATGTTTTCTGATTTGAAGGCCCAGCAAGAGACAAAAATGGAGAAATTATATACAGTTATTGAAGAAGTAAGAAATCAAAATTTAGAGATCCGTTCATGTATTGAATTCCTATCTACCAAATATGACTCACTTATGGAACAAGTTAATGAGCTTAAGGAAGAAAACTCACAACACCTCAAATACATCCAGGCACTTGAAACTAAATTGGAAAATTGTGAAAGAAGCAATCGAGCGACTTGCATTGAAATAAAAAATTTACCGATAAATCAATCTGAATCAAAGGGTTGTCTTCTTGAAACTGTAAGCAAAATTGGGGACGTTTTAAAAGTTGGCATACAAACCAATGATGTCAAAGATATATTTCGCATTAATACTAGGAACCCTGAAAATAAAACTGTGATAGTCGATCTTGTTAGTAACATCAAAAAGGATTTTATACTGAAGGCTTACAAAAAATATAATAAAGGTAACACCAAGCTCAATACTGAAAACGTAGGAATACATGGTCAATCGAAACCCATTTTTATCGCAGAGAACCTAACTGCAAAAATGAAGCGACTGTTTTATCTTGCCCGCGTTTTTGCAAACAGTAACGAATACAAGTACTGCTGGACATCAAATGGCAAAATCTTTATTCGAGAAAAGGATGGCTCTCCTTTTTATTTGATTAAGGATGAATCGGATCTCAAAAAAATTGTTAAAGCATATTGACTATTATTATTAGTTATTTATATTATTTGTTTAACGGTTTTTGGTTTCAAGTTTTTAACTCTCTCAAAATCATTGTTTGTAGCTAATTTTGTAAGTTATAATTTTGATTTTCATACTTGTAATATTACGTATAATATTGTTCATGATAATAATATTAGAATCACAACACACACACATACATTCTCACATTTGACTACATGCCCCACTCTTTACATCCTTATATTCCCATGCAGTAAAGTTCCGACTACCTTACAACATCTAGCATATGAAGTAAATGTTCAGCTAGCATGGTTAACTCTCTTTTTTAGAGAAATACTTTTCTCGTGCTTGTTACTCATTGTAAACTCCTACTCAATCAAATATGGATGATCACTTACAAATATCTTTGGAAATAGATAACGTATCTGTCAGTGACAGTTATGTTTGTTCTCCCGAACATGTCACAACATACATAAATAATTCTTCGAATAATCTGAAGGTTTTCCATGTGAACATACGAAGCATCGGCAACACCACCAATTTTGGAAATCTTGTTCTTCTATTAAAAAGAATTAATCTCGACTTAGATATCATAATACTATCGGAATGTTGGTTGAGCAAGTGTTCTTATCTTCCCAAATTGCATGGCTTTCAAATTCATAAAAGTAAATTCTGCAACCAAAATGATGGAGTGGTTGTGTATATAAGGGATAGTATAGTAGTTAAAGTTTATGAGCCTGCTGTAGCTGATGCAAACTGTTTAGCTATTCAACTTTCACATGATGTGGTGATTCTCGCCATGTATCGTTCGCCATCGAGTAAAAATATTGAAAATTTTATTAATTCATTGGATAACCTTTTGGTCTCGCTAAAATGTTTCAAAACTGTTGCAGTTATTGGTGATTTAAATATAAATATACGAACAGAAAATACCGATCAAAATTCATATTTTTATCTAAACTTGTTGGCATCTCATTCCATGCTCCCAGCTCATTTATTACCGACTCGCTGTAACAACTGTATTGACCATGTGATGGTGAAAAGTGAAAACCGCTCTATTACCTTAGTCTTAGACTCTTTGTTGACAGACCACTTTCCATTATTATTCTCTTGTGCATTGAAGGGTAAAGTTGGTCGGTCTATTGGGACTCGCATATTGAAGCGAGTTGACATACAGGCCTGCGTGGTAGAACTTGAAAATAAAGATTTCTCCCAAGTGTTCAACAGTGCCAATGCGGAAATTGCAGCAAGTTGCTTGATTGAAATTCTATCTTCCGTAATCAGGGCTAATACTAAACATATTAAAATTTCAAATAGAAAAATTATCTCTAAGCCCTGGATAACACCTGGCTTGCTGCGTTGCATCCGCCATAGGGATAAACTGTATCGACAAACTAAAAAACATCCAGACAGTAAACTCTTAGATACTACTTACAAACGCTATAAAAATTTTTGTAACAATCTATTAAAGAAAGTTAAAAAGGAATACGAGCGATCTGAATTCCAAAAACACAAAAAGAAACCAAAGGAATTATGGAATCTTATTAAAAAAGTCACTAATCTTAACCAAAAGGATTCTGCCTCTGACGAACTGTTATCTACATCTAATGACCCGCAATCGGCTGTTGAATCGGTCAATGCATTTTTTTCTAACGTGGGCAAAAATTTGGCTACTAACATAGTTGAAGACTCTTTGAATACGACACTCTTCAGTTCATCCAGAGAACCCGATGTTTCTGTTTTGGACTCCATGGTATTGCTGGACACTGACTATAAGGAAATTGAGAAAATTATCTTGAGTCTTAGGCAGAATTGTGCAACTGGCTGTGATGGTATTCCAATATCCCTGATTAGGGAATCGAGGCATATCTTGATTCCCGTGCTCAAACATGTGTTCAATTTATGTTTTTCTTCGGGCACTTTTCCTACAATTTTCAAGAAAGCATTGGTTCACCCCATTTATAAGGGTGGAGACAGATGCAGTGTCAATAATTACAGACCAATATCGGTCCTACCTACTCTGTCTAAAATTCTGAAAAAATCCTAAATACTAAACTAATAAATTATTTAGACGCCAATAATCTAATTGCTTCTAATCAATTCGGTTTTAGGGCTGGGAAATCAACGGAGGATGCAGTTTTGGAATTAACCAGCACTGTCGTTAAAAATCTTAATTGTAAACTAAATTCATTGTGCATATTCCTTGATCTCACTAAAGCATTCGACACTGTATCTGTTTCCATTCTGCTTTCAAAATTACAACGTATTGGTATAAGGGGTACTGTGCTAAAAATATTTGAGAGCTACCTTTGTGATCGTACTCAATGCGTTACTATTGGCAATTATACTAGTCGATATGAATTAATTACATATGGCGTACCACAGGGAAGTGTCCTGGGCCCAACTCTGTTCTTGATATACATAAATGATTTGTGTCAATTGAAACTGCCAAACAGCAAAATAGTTACATATGCTGACGACACGGCAATCATTGTACATGGACAGAGTTGGGAGGCGGTTCGTTCAAATGCGGAATCCTCGTTGCGTTCCACCATGCTATGGTTGTCCCGTAACCTGCTCACATTAAACTTAAGTAAGACCAAATTTGTCACTTTTGCTCCAAAACTCTCATCACAGCCAGAGTCCTCGTTTGCAATAACTGCTCATAAATGCAACATGCCTCCTTGTTTCTGCGCCTCAATATCACGCGCAAATAGTATTAAATATTTAGGTGTTACAGTCGATAGTGTTATGTCATGGAATGAACATATCAAATGTACCACGACGCGTATCAGAAAACTAATATTTGTTTTCAGTAAGTTGAGAGTTGGCGCTGACCTAGCTACTCTAAGGACTGCTTATTTTGCTCTTGTTCAGTCTCTTATTTCATACTGCGTTACAATTTGGGGTGCTGCCGGAAAGACTAAAATGCTACAGCTTGAAAGAGCCCAAAGGGCAGTCTTGAAAGTTATGGCCTCAAAGCCAATAAGGTATCCAACCAATGAAATACTTCGATTTTGGGAAGTTCTCTCCGTGCGAAAAATGTTTATTTTAAATGCTGTTCTTCGCAAACACAAATCCCTTACATACGATCCTAATATTTTTAAAAATAAAAGAAGAAAGGACAAAGTATGTTCTGTGGTGGGTTGTAGACTTGTACTGGCTAAACAGCATTATGATTTTATGGCTCCCCTGCTGTACAATAAAATAAACAAAAAATTGAACTTTTATCCTCTCGGCTTGTATAAATGTAAAGAGCTCATTCGTGAGTGGCTACTTAGTCTAGATTATAATGAAGTAGAAAATTTAATGAAGTAAGTAATGGAGCTTTACATAAGGAATACACACTAATCACACTCACGTACACACTTAAAAACACACACACACACATACACACACACACACATACATACACACATACACACAGAGACAGACAGATACACACACACACACATGCATGAATTTCTGTTAACATAGTTTAGTATTTGTTTAAGTTAATCGAATTTGATTGAATATACATATATATAAAAAGTACTTTGTCAATGCAATATGTATGTCTGAAACGCCCGTCTGTTCAGAGGTGGGCGCTAACATCTGCGACACAGTCTTCGACTACTGCGGATGTTAACGCAAACTGTGTTTATGTACAAATGTTTTGTGTTTCAATAAAGATTTATTATTATTATTATTTTGTTATCTTTAATAAAATTCCTATTGGTGTCGATTCTATTCTATATATGCCAGAACAACTAAATTTAACATCAGTCTCTCCATTTCATTCTGTATAAAGTATGACAAGGATACACTGTTGTCAAATTTAAGTTTAGATTGAGAGAATCGTGCCAGAATCAACACCATTGTCATCTTAATATTAATTGCTTATTGACTAACTACGTTATTACACTACAAAATGAATACTTAAGATTTTTTTTATGGAAAGATAGGCAAATGCCTCCATCCCATTTGATGTTAAGTGGTGATAGAGTCCAAGATGCAAAGATAGCTGGTATAGCAGTTATATACTGCCATGACAACCATTTTCACCTTGCCGGCCTGCAGAAATGCTTTTTTTCATCCCTCTCTTAAATAACCCCAGATTGTAGGAATAGTGGAACATGTGTGCGGGCAAAGAATTCCATGTGCATATAGTATTACATAGAAATAAGTCACCAAATTTCTTTGTTTGTGTAGGGATATAATGATTATGAATGATTTAGGATTGTGAGTTTAAATCATAGAAGAAAGAGATGAAAGATGTTTGTTAAGTATCCTTGTAGACAGGCATACACAATCATAGAATAAAATGTGTAATTAGTACCAATTCTATTTAGGAGCAAGGGTGTAGTAATAGAAATTAGTGGTAATGATGATTTGTCATTGAGAGAGCCTTCAATAGCAATAGGCTAGTTGACTCATGTTGAATTGTATTAAATAAATGTTTATTTCTTAAAGTATTTGGTCTAAGGAACCTAAATATATCGATTTCACTTCAAAAAAGCAGAAGATTGCTGTAGAAATTTAATTTAAAAAAATAATTTTGAGTCTATACTTTTTAAACACTAAAAACACTGTTCGCCACGTCCGCCATGATTGTGACGTATCTTTTAGTAAACAACTAAATGTCATTCATACATAACTTTAAAACTTATATTATTAAAACTGATACTAATATACTAATTGAAGAGACTTAAAATATTATTCAATGAGTACTTACATCAAAGTGATCTTCGCAAAAATAAATTTTACTACCAGGTATTGCGTAGGTTAATTTCTTTCGGCACTTTAATCCACAACTTTCCTGGAGTCTTCAAGGATGTGTTTTTACATTCTCGTACAATACAATAATGATAATTACTATATTTTTCGTGGTATTTATTAGAAATCATGGTTTTTTTTATTATAAACTCAGATAGGTTATTTTCTACATGCTTTCGAGTTTTTGTTTACTACCGTCGACGTCATAACATAGATAATCTATAGACTAAAATGGCCGACAGCGTTTTTGTATGTCCATGAAAAGTCTTTTTTAAAATTAAAGATTTGTAGCTTTCTAGGTCTCAAAAAAATACAATACATTTTTTTCGATCTAATAGAACATTTATTAACCATTTAAAACCTTTTTCCAAAAAGGGTCACCTAGCCTATTATAATACTAAAAGAGGTAGTACTGTTTTAATTTATTTTACATAACAATATTATGTCTCAACATGATATTTAAGGATTATAATTTAGTTTATATGGGTCTGAAGACAACAAAGAACCCCTTAAAGTTTCGCCGTATCTGTCTGTCCATCAGTCTGCAGCTTAGCATCTTGCTTTATTTTTTTCTAATGTACCTCTCCAACATGACTGTATGTTTATTATTTTTATCATCTACCCATGGGGTTTGTGTGGATAAGTTTTATAAATGTTGCCAGTTTGTGCAAATAAGTAGTCACACTGACAAATTGCTATAATAAAATTTGAAAACATTTTGTTTTCGTGTATCTCTCCAAGGTGTATGTTCTTTTTCTCTATTATTTTCATGGTGTTAAGTGTCATTGTCATCATAGTATTTTGAATAGATCTATCCAAAATATTGAGGGTTCTTGAAAACAATTTCTTGATTTTAAAAACTTTGTTTTTTTAACACTGATTTTATTTTTAATTTATAAATATTTGTATATTTTTTGGAATTCGTAATTTTTCATATTTTCTATCTAATCAACAGATCCCCATAGGTGATCAACCAGAAGATATTGAAACCCAAATAAGAAACCTCATAATCAAGTACATTGCTAATCCAAATTCAATCATTCTTGCTGTGACGGCTGCTAATACTGACATGGCGACAAGCGAAGCCATCAAAATGGCTAAAGAAGTAGATCCTGATGGTAGAAGAACATTAGCTGTTGTTACAAAACTTGATCTCATGGATGCCGGTAATTGTCTTAATAAGCTATAGAGGGTTGATTTACAATTTCAGAGACACTACATATTTCTAATAGAGAGAGGTTCAATGTTGAGTGCCTTATGGCTTTAGTCATAGAGCCCAATATGCCTAAAAGACAGAAAGAAAGATATGTTCATAACTTTCAAAAGTGCACTGAATTAGCATACCTAACTAATTTTCATTATTTGAGGACACAGTTTGTATGATGTTAATTGTTTAGTTTTATTCAATGGTATGTTAAGTACCTTGAACTCTTGAATACTCTTTTATCCAACTGACAATGCGAGAGCTTCCTTATGCCGTTATCATTATAAACCTATAAATAGCCTTTAAAGGAACATGAGACACAGTTGGAACAATATATTTAGTTTTAACAATGCTACTGAATCAAAACAAAATCAACTCGCCCATTAGATAACATTATAAGGAAATAAAATGTAGGATGTGGCAAGTCTTGTAACATTATATCAGTGTAATATACCTTCAGGAACAACCACAAAAATTATTTACTATTTTTATATCTGTACATTGTTTTTATGAAACTTATAGTTGTTTTTTTTTTCAATTGTTTGAAAAATCATTCAGATTAATTAATACTAGAGATTGGATAATCAGATGCATATTTACCTACATTTATTTTTTCTTTAGCAAATTATGGAAGTGGCTTCATAGGATATTTGGATTAAAAATAAAATCTAGGGTTACCGGGATCGCATAACTAATCGAATGTATATTTACTTAAAGTCAAAATTTAATTTGGTGGTGTGGTTAATAAGAAAACATAAATGTATATAAATTTATTTATTCATTAAGGACATCTTACAAAATATTTTTATGTTATACACACAGGGCAACTGTCATTTGTGTTTATGGGTTTATTAGAGCTTACAGAGCACACCCTTAAATTTGAATTTACCGGAATCACTGGATTTATTCCAAAAACGTAATGTTATTTGTAATAGCCTACATCTCAATTTTAGATATGCATCCAATTATCCGATCTTTAATTGTTACTCATTGGAAAGAAATGCTATACAAATATCACAATAGAAAAAACCCTTTATGAAAATGTATTGGTATAAAACGATATCAGATGAATACTTATTTCTGTGTATTAAAAAAATAATACCAAATTCTGACACGATTCAGTAAACTTTCATTTTTGTAGCAGTCTATCCTTTCATTCTTTAAAGAGCATGTTAAATATTAAGGTCATAGCGCACTAGACCCACCCGGCACTCGACCACCAGCCCCGTGGCCCACCAGCTTTCGTCAGGTGGGCCACAGGTGAAAGCCCCGCCACACGAGCGAGCGAGACAGAGGCAGCGTGTAGATACGACACGTTGCTCGCGTGTGAGCGAGGCGAGGCGGCGACGGTACGGATTTGGTGTAAGGGGCCGTCCATTAATCACGTGATGCTATTTTTGGCATTTTTAACCCCCCCTACTACCTACAATGAATCTTAATAATTTTTAATATTTATGAAATACAAGTATAAGTTTCATCTAATTTTGTTATAGAAAATTAAAGACCAATAATAACTTACTTAGTTATTACGACTGGTTTTTTTGACGGACATAAATATAATGAAAGAAATGCGAAAAACTTTTGTGTACTTATACATAAAAATTATATAATGTACAGTATCCTCGGACCACGGAAATACACGTGATATATGACTACACCCCCCTCCCCCCTGTGATTTCGTGATTTTTTATGGACTCCTCCCCTTTCGAGCCTCACATGATTAATAGACAGCCCCTAATGACCGCATTCCGAAGAATATCAACCGGGCGCGCCGAGGCGATGCTGTTCGAGTGCCGGGTGGCTATAATGAGATATGGACCTTTAGGCACCTCGCGCACTAGACGGCTACGACCACGGCCAGTTGCCGCAGTGGCTAACTTGGTCAATTTGGTCGTTACAGACACTTGTCGTCGTCATGGTCTTCTAGTGCTTTAAGTGCCTTATATTAAAGTAAAAATTAGAATTTTAGTCGAAAAAATCATACCACACAGTCGAGCCTAATGTTTTTTCTTTATGTCCCAACAAAACTTAATTCTGATTTCCTCATCACATTTAGGCACTGACGCTATCGACATATTATGTGGAAGAGTGATCCCTGTAAAACTGGGCATTATCGGCGTTGTAAATAGATCTCAGCAGGACATAATCGATAAAAAATCGATTACGGTAAGTATCTAATACACACCCATGTTTTTCCTACAATGCACTATCTGCATAAAATCTATAGTATGTTAAAGTCACAGTCACGAGAACCTTTAAATTATTTTCCCACACATCTGCAATTTTTTTTCATAGAGATAATTTAGGACATAAGTAAATGCAATCTACTAACACGGCACACGTAAAGACGGCATGGCTAGGAATCGACGCTGCAACACTGCTATTGCCAAGATTGAATGGCATTCAAAATTTATGGCGGTTGTGAAGTTAGCAGCGGGCGCAACTATGAGCAGATTTCTGTTCATTGAAAGCCTACGCGCACCTATATTTTGTTTACTGCGCCATGACTTGCGCTAACTTCACAGTCACCAGTAAGTTTGAATAGCAATATACTATATTCATGGAAATTAATTATAGAAGCACTTTCTTTATCTTAAATAGTTTAACAATGTTTTGATCTTCTAAATGTATATTTTCTTATTATGCTGCTGCTAGGGCAACATAGCTATAGTAGTATAATAACAATACTTCATTTCACAGGACACATTGAAAGATGAAGCAACATACCTCCAAAGAAAGTACCCCACTATAGCAACAAGAAATGGCACTCCTTATTTAGCCAAAACACTAAATAGGCTTTTGATGCATCATATTCGGGATTGCTTGCCCGAACTGAAGGTAATAAACCCTATTTATATTCATTCTAGGTAGTATGTTTACAATTAATAATTATTTCGTGATTTTATTTTATTGTCTTATTTTTATTTACTGAAGAAATTATTCGTTCATTAGGTTCGCGTCAACGTTATGATATCACAGTTCCAATCTCTACTGAATTCTTACGGGGAAGATGTGTCGGACAAATCCCAAACACTCCTACAAATAATTACTAAGTTTGCGAGTGCTTACTGCTCCACAATAGAAGGAACTGCGAGAAACATAGAGACCACAGAACTGTGTGGTGGTGCTAGAATTTGCTACATATTTCACGAAACGTTTGGGAGAACACTTGACTCTATTCATCCTTTAGTAGGTATGTTGATGCTTTTCATATTTAGGTACCATTTTTTATTATTATTCATTATGTTAAAATGAAATCTACCGTTCCTAGACGACTTCAAGTCGAAATCTCTTTCACGTTTAGCATCAAGTACAGGAGAGTGAATCCAAACCAAAAAAAAAAACTTGCATGTCTCTTTTTTGACCATTATATTGTTATCTCTTTTAAATCCGATGTTTGTTGTGCAATATAAACAACATAATATGCAATGATATACCGCGATGTGATTATTCACATTTTCAACTTCACATAATTATTTATGTGAGAATGCATAAAAAATACCACCTGGACGCAATATTATTAAGGTTAAAAACCCAAATCAGATCGCCACTATGCGCTGCCTATAGGTGGAAAGAATAATACGTAATAATATTTTATAAACCTAGGTTTAACTCGAATGGACATTCTGACGGCTATACGAAACGCCACTGGTCCTCGACCCGCGCTGTTCGTGCCCGAGGTCTCGTTCGAACTTCTAGTCAAAAGGCAAATAAGAAGACTTGAAGACCCGTCGTTGCGATGCGTCGAATTGGTAAGTCGTCACTCGTTTCCTTGACGTAAAGTTGGTGTCATCTTCTTCTATATACAGGGTGGTCGGGGAGTTGACGTTCAAAAGTAAAATTTAGATACTTTATGATGAGGAGTATCCAAATCACCCCCATGTATGTCTACGATTTTGCGTACTTTTCGAGTTATAATTTTTTTAAAGTTTTTTTCGTAATTTCCACCTAACATCGGTTTTCGATTTTTTTCTCATTCTGTTGGACGTTTTTGGTTCAGGTTTTTTGTAATAACTGACTAACATAGTCTAACCTATCATCCTAAAACTTATGGTTTATCTAGGCATTGCAGAATTCACTTAGAATTTGTTCGAAAGTTCAAAATTACGATTTGAGCTCAGTACACACAAATTTTCAAAGTATCAAAAATAAATGTAAATGGGGGGATTTGGAGTTCAAAGTGCTTTTAGAAACTTTCTGAAACATTAAACTTTAAAACAAGGTCAAATAAAGATAGGGTTAATGGGGGTTTATTTTCTGTAATTGACCTTCAAAGTAAATTAAGGCATTTTTCAAGGAAAAATAATAATTATTTTCTTTTATTTAAATCTTTGCCTTTCTCTCAGTTATGATGGATTTGAGTAAAACGCAGTTAATTGTTAACAAAATACATTTATTTAAAGCAAATTTTCAAAATTTCGCGCTCCCACAGAAATACACAATCTACATCTGCGCAAAAAAATTTGTTTTAGGTGCCTAAAAGCTTCACGGTTATTTTTCACAGTTTTGGTTTGGTTGTGGTTTCAGCTTCGCGAATTTTTGTTCTCAGTTCTTCTTCACTCGAAGCTTCTCTGGCGTACGCAATTTCTTTAAAGTAGCCCTAGATAAAAAAAAATCAATAGGGTTGAGGTCAGGCGAGGGTGGTGGCCAGGCATTGGCCCTCGTCGTCCGATCCACCTGTTGGGGTAGGTCTGGTCCTAATGGCGACACATACAAAAGTTTTTTAGAAGACAATCTACCCATATTACTGGAAGATGTAAATCTTGAATTAAGAAGAACGATGGTGTTCCAGAACGACGGGGCGCCATGTCATTACGCGACACAAGTGCGTCGCCATTTACATTTATTTTTGATACTTTGAAAATTTGTGTGTACTGAGCTCAAATCGTAATTTTGAACTTTCGAACAAATTCTAAGTGAATTCTGCAATGCCTAGATAAACCATAAGTTTTAGGATGATAGGTTAGACTATGTTAGTCAGTTATTACAAAAAAACTGAACCAGAAACGTCCAACAGAATGAGAAAAAAATCGAAAAACGATGTTAGGTGAAAATTACGAAAAAAACTTTAAAAAAATTATTACTCGAAAAGTACGCAAAATCGTAGAACATACATGGGGGTGATTTGGATACTCCTCATCATAAAGTATCTAAATTTTACTTTTGAACGTCAACTCCCCGGCCACCCTGTATATAAAAAACAATTGCTGTTCGTTAGTCTCGCTAAAACTCGAGAATGGCTGAACGGATTTATCTTATCTTGGTCTTGAAGTGTTCGTGGAGGTCTAGGGAAGGTTTAAACGGTGAGAAAATATGGAAAAATTGCGAGGAAGATATTAAAAACGTCAATTTAATTTTCCCATATAAACTGTTCTATCTTCTTTCCTGTCAAACATTTGACGTTCGTCCCTTTTGGTACGGAAGACTCGTGTCCGTCATTTCTTCCAAATTATTTTAACCCGTACGAAGTACGCGGGGTCAACTAGTAATTAATAAAGCAGAAGGCGCAAGTAATTATCATCAGGCTATTATTGTCTCCACTACTGGGACACAGGCCTTTCCTATTGATGGAATAGGGAGATTAGTGAATGACTCAACAAGAAGGTCTAATGCGGAAAGACGGGTGCTAATATTCATTTGAAGCCAACCAGGGTCTAACGTGCTTTCCGAAGCGCAGAGGAAGTCGAGATAACAAATTCTTGGCGCCCTTCTGATGATTGGCAATAGCAAAAATTTGCTTAACTTTCACGATCATATACCGAATGCGCTAACCACTTGGACCGTCCAGTTCCTTTATACAGGAGGAAAGAGTTCGTGTAAGTATTTTGTGTTTTCTCTCTCTCGCTCTTGAGATCTGTCAATATCTTGAGTATTACGTCCAATCCATTCTCTTTGGCTGAGTGCACATGCTGCGTTTATGGATGACAAATTGTGACTAAAGCGAATTATGTGCATGCACCTAATTTAGGCGGTGCACTCTTGAGACCAAGAGTGCCGTATCCTCCTTTTTCATATTTAATCTAAGATAACACAAGTAATGTTGTACATTTCGAAAAGTGTGTGAGGGAAATTAATAGTAGTTAGAAGTAATATTATAAAGGCGAAAGTTTGTGAGTGTGTACGTTTGTTACTTCTTCACGTCTAAACGGCTGGAGTGATTATATTAAAATTTGGTATGGAGTTAGCTGACACCCTAGATTAACGCACAGGCTACGTTTTACTGCTGGAAATTATATCCCTAGTAAACCGCGGGTAACACCGCGGGGCACAGCTAGTTATTAATATAACTGCCATAAAGTTTGAATTGCACTCTACGTAATCACGTTGGTGGTCAGGTGCACGAGGAGATGCAGCGCATAGTGCAACACTGCGGCACCGAAGTGCAGCAGGAAATGCTGCGTTTCCCGCGCTTACACCAACGCATTGTTGACGTGGTGACACAGTTACTGCGCACGCGTCTGCCCGCCACCAATTCCATGGTAAGTAATAAAAATTATTTTGAAGTGAAACTTTATACTTACACGGTGAATTTTAAGTTACCCGAGAAACTTAACAATCGTGTAAAGGAACATACTTCGAAACATAAACAGTAAATGTACCACACCCCTATACAAAAATATTGATTTACTCGCATATCGTAAAACGGCACAAATTTGATAATTATGGAATTAGTATCCATTCAAAGTATGCAGATTCTAAAATTAGTTATAAATATTTAAAATTAAAATTTAACAATTAAAATTGTGAAGGTTTCATAATTGCAGAAATAGTGAGTTAAAAAATATGTTTTTTTAAGATGCTTGCGGTTGCCAATGCGCATGCGCGATTAGAGGGAGAAACCTAGCGGTCTCTCATCTTCTTTCTCTTTCTATTAGAGGGACACTTAAACTTGTAGTAGAGTTTATATCTCCCCTACTCTATTCTTATACCTCTATGGACCCAGTACACATTTAACATTTTTTTTTTATTTTAAAACAGGTATAATGGTTACAGTTTTATATTGTTCGTTGAATATTCGTTGAATGCAGTTAGTTTATATAAACTGTGCTACTGTGGAAATTACAATTACAGGCATAAAAGAAAGAAACAAATTCCATGGTGGGAGTCTCCTTTCCGTTTTTCTCTCATCCGTTCTCTACTCATTTTCTTCTCCACCTCTTAGCTTCTATCCCTGACTGAATCCCGAATCTAACTCGGGGTGTATGTGAGGACCTAGGAGTAATACCCAAAATAAATCTCTCCAACTACACTTCACTATCACCATGTGAAACAAAAAAAAACGGACATGTGCTGTTCTCATGCGATAGAAGTGAAATTTACAAAAACGTGAACACGTAAAGGTCATTCAGCCGCCTGGGGCTTTATTTGATACCAGCTATTATATTTTATTTCTTTTGTTACGTTTTTTTATCTTGGTTTTATTCCAAATATTTATTTATAAAAAAATACCTTCAAAAAATTACAAACATTGTAAGGATTGTTGATAAAAACCAAGCCTGTATTAATAAAGAACTTGGCACCTACCAAACGTTTAATACTTAACTATTCAGACATTGTAAAATTAAATATTCTATACTTAAATTGTTCTGAAAAATAAATAAAAGCTTAATAAAAGAAAAAAAAACAATTAAAAAATAACCAAGCACAGGATCGAACCATTGATTATTTGGTGTCGACTCCAAAACCGTTACCGTTCGGCTATCTGTCTTTTGTAGAAAGTTACAAAATTACGGGTACCTTGTATCAAATACTGTTGCTTTTTCGTTTCATCGAGTTTCCAATCACAACGGTGCTAAAGAAGTTTTCACTTCAAAAACTTATAAATAAATCCATAGTAGTATCAAATACTGTCGCTTTTTCGTTTCATCGAGTTTCAAATCACCACGGTGCTAAAGAAGTTTTCACTTCAAACACTTATAAATAAATCCATAGTAGTTACAGTATTAGAGACCCTTTTTAGGTCAAATGCTGCGGTTCGCACGCTTATACCAACGCATCGTTGACGTGGTGACGCAGTTACTGCGCACGAGGTTGCCCGCCACCAATTCCATGGTTGATTTTCCCTCTATTAATTCCCATTCTTTCTTATCAGCTAAAAGATGTTCTGAATGGGTAGTAAGAAAAAATATGGGACGATTCAAAAGAGCTTTTAATAGGTCCATTTGAATAAAGTATATTTTCATTTGATAGTCTTTATTCCTTTCATCTTTTCTCTCATCTGTCCCCTACACGTGTCAGACAAACGGGCAGTGGAGTCTTAGTAATAGATTCTTTCTCGTTTTTACCCTTTGGGTGCGGAACCCTAAAAACGGATAAACCAAAGGGGTCAGGGGGGCGTGGGGGTCGAATGAAACCCTCGACCTCGCCTGTAACCACATAACGTGACTCGTCATATGATATCACACTTTTTTGCGCGTGCAGCCGGTGTTATATATATCAAATCGTGGTGCTCAATTACGAAAAGCGTATGATGTGTAACATTTGAAACCTCACCTTAAATTAGTAAAAAAAGAAATAAAACCTACTACAAAAGGGATAAGCCAATTGAACATTATGTTCTAAAATTCAAATAGCGCGCGCTGCCCAAACTTCCTGTTGCCCACTTCCGTCCCACTTCACGAAATCACTCCCACAAATTGATTGCACGAAAGCGAGAGGAAAGATGTTACACATCAATAAACATAATAAAAAATTAACCTCACCACTTGATTTCGTATAGGTGGAAAATCTAGTCGCGATCGAGCTCGCATACATTAACACCAAACACCCCGACTTCCACCGAGAGGCGGCGCTAGTGTCCGGCTTACTGAAAAGCACCGACGGCCTCGAAGAAAACAGCCCCATCTACCGGCAGAAGACGCCTAGAGCGACTCCCTCGCCGGTATCCACAATGTTCAAAGTATATACTAGCTTTTTTTATTAGCCCGATGCATGTTGGGGACTGACTAACACACTAACTGGCTGAGGTAAGGTTGTACTGTTCTGTAATTTAAATGTTTTTGTGAATTTATTGAGCTGTTAAGCTAAGAAATGTCAAGTGTTTCACTGGATAAAATAAAAAAAAAATTGTTACTGTACTGTACTGTGTACAGTATAAATGTACTTTTTGTGTACAGAAATTTAATATAACCCGTATCATTAAAGAAAGGAATCGCAAATGACGACGTAAGATATTCTGTCACTCTTACATTCGCTATCCTAAGGATGTAACGTGCGAGAGAGACTTTTTCGATTCCTTTCTTTAAAGACACGAAATAACAACTCGTGTCTTTAAAAAAAATAATCATAGTATGTTAGCTTCACTATTCATTCCTCCTATAATATTTTATCGCCATTCTATTCTTCCATTTAGTAGAAAATGGCTTCTTTTTGAATTAAAACAGATATCTGTTTATTTAAAAGGCAACTGTTACAGACTGATCTATCATCGCACAGCTCAAACCTCTGAACGGATTGCGCTATAATTTGGCACACATAACTATTATTATGTAGGCGTGTACCTTAAAGGGGTAAAACAGGATTTCACATTTTGTAGGATAAACCAATATTTCAACGCAGCAGATGAAGTCGGGGGCACCCACTAGTATCAAAATATGGACATTTCTTTGCTTTATGACTAATATTTTATGCACCTAATAATTCATTTTAATGTATTTTTTTTAAAGGATTTTAGAAACATAGCAAACCTTTCCAATGACAATTTGATGAAGATAATTTATCCGAATCTATGTTTGGTATTCAATTAATCATATCTTGCTTTTATAGTTTTTTCCATTAGCATGGAAATTACAATACACAACCACAAACGATAAACATTGCTATTAGTGAATCATGACCAAATCAGTTTGTATGGTACTTATTATAGAGTAAAATGTTGCTTACCTGAATTTTCTTTGAATGAGTAACGTTATCGTGTTCTTTGTAGCTGTTTCTACGTCAAATGGGTGAAAGAGGGTCCATACTCGTGTACTTAGGACATGTATGGCAAGTGTACAACCAGGTAATCCAGAATAATGTACAGAAACAGTGTTGACTAACACTGTACTTGTGCTCATGATAGTCACATCGAATCGAAGGAATACCGAATGTTACTTAAAATTTATAAATCTCTGGAAAATGTCACATTATGGTGTTTCAAGGTGACTTCTTTGGCCATCCAGTTCGCGAAACAAGCTTTATTGCTAAGCGTAGGTCTTGTTAGACGATTTCTTTGGGCATTGTGTCTGAGATATAATCTTTATTACTAAGCGTGTAAAGCTTAAACTTGAATGGGCTTTTAAATAAGTCAAAAATCTATTTTGCTATTATTATTACAAGTGAAGTTACTTGAGGCTCCTTAAAAACTAAGGCGACCTTAGTTATAAAATACCATTTGAGTATTCACTCGATAAACATGTAACTCTCTTTCACTCATTCTAAAAACCTATCACTAGATGGCCTCTTTGATTTGTGTTGCTGTTGTGTTTATGGTGTGACTAAAACTGCACAGTATTATGTGGTGCTTCTTGTGATTGTTATTGTTCGTTTTGCAGCATGTAGCGGCGATCACCGATGGTTCCGAGAATAAATCACCAACTCAAAACGCCATTGCAGAGTCTCCAGCTACCCCACAGGTAAGATCATTTGAAAAGATCTTCTACCAACTACGCTTCTACGAAGCCTAAATGTTTTTGTAAGCAACTATTTGGACATTGAGCTGTCATATAAGAAATGTATGGGCCAATGTTGAATTGTTGACGATCGAATAAAGTTTCATCGCATGTAGGGTTACCATCCGTCCGGATTTGTCCAGATATGTCCAGACTTTTTGCCTTCTGTCCGGACTTAGTCCAGCTTTTTAATTAGTCCGGTTTTTTTTTTATTAGATGGAATATGAGGAAAACTACTTATTAAGTTATATCAAATAAGTCAAATAATCTTTATTAAGTTCTCATTCTTTTTAAACAAAATAGAAATTATCTTTAAAAATCAACAACGAGACTCCCCTCGCAATGCGAGCGTCTACTACCACTCGTATAATATCACTGTATCTAAGTGAGTGATGTTTGCATTTTGTGACTAAAATTTCCGGACTTTTATCGAAGTGTCCGGCTTTTTGTAAGGACTTTTCAAATTTTTAAATAGTTACCCTAATCGCATGGATCTTTTATCTTTATTGAATCTTGTTTAATCGTTTTTGGCTTGAAGAACCAATAATAACTAAAGTTATAATTTCGTAAAAGCAGAATTCATATTCATAATCATAAAATAACATAATTTCCGACTCGCTTTGTAAGTAGTAAGCTACTTAGGTTATGTACACTGGTATTGAGTCAAAACTGGACTCATCTTACGCTAACGTACGCCACAGTACGGTAACTTCGTTAGTAGCGAATAGCGCATGTGTGATATCATCAAAATAAATAACAGATTTTTAACCGTTGTATTTATTTATACAAGTCCGAAGTCATTACTTCGCTTATGTAATTATTTGAGCGACACTTTTCATTTCATACTTATGAATTTTATTAAAGTAATAACTTAGATTGAGAAAGTAAGAACGTCTTTAGATTTAAATATCTATGCTTCTTCAAAAATGAAAAAGTAATAACTGTCAAAAATGAAAATTCAATAGAAACCAATTTCATTTCTAAATGTCCATGTGTTTTATTGAAGAATTTTAATGTCAAGTCATTACGAGGTTACTTAGCTACAAAGTAATTACTTAGCAATAAGTGATTCGCACTTAATTCAGCGGCTTCCCTCACATGAACCTCAATGTATTTTGATAATTTGACATAAGCAATTTAGTTTAATGTTATATAACTCTAAACATCTTTGCTCGATGCCGCATCACGCGGTTTGCGCGGGAATCTCTGTTCTCGGCGCGCGTTCGAAAAGTATGTTTCTTCTTGCAGTGTTTTTTTACGTGCATAAAGGCCATTGCGACGTAGTTATTTTAACTTTCGTATAGTTGTGATTTATCTGTACTAATCTGTGAGAGGGCACGCGATCGAGTTCAATTGAGTGTAAAAATCTTGACTCAACTCACAGACGAGTTAAGTTAAGATTTTTGCAGAGATTTTTGGCTCCATTTTGTCGGGTTCGGTGAAGTGAATATCTTTATTAATCGCAAATTGTTTCATATTGGACTTTGTGTGTTTCTTTATCATAAGTAATGAACCCAAGACGGCTAACATATCGTTAAGGGTCACTAGTGACGCCATGACTTCAAATGAACGTTGCCGAAGGTTTTCATATACCTCACGCTCATCTTTAATATTGTTATTACCAATGCAAAAGAAAAAAAAAGAGCGCGATTCATTTGAAAACCTTCGGCGGTCAGAAAAGGTCCCTGGACAATTTTTTTTTTCTAGTGTTATTTTCTATAGATATGTAGTATAGTTACACGCCAACATTTTAGGTGAATGGTACACCCGACAATAAAGTGCTCACACCGCAGAAGCCAGTCAATCTGCTGCCGGAGGTGCCCAGCCAGACGTCGCGCAAGCTGTCTGATCGGGAGCAGCACGATTGTGACGTCATCGGTGAGTTTACTGTTCGATAGCTTAGAGTCTTCTTTATTTATATTTCTCAATAAAAATCGGATATTCAGATTGTAGAATATTATTTAAAGTAAAATACAGATCTTATGAAATTATGTGCGTACGTTGTCTTGAATTCGAAACGCAAGAGGGAGGGTGAATCTATATAAAACTAATGAGTAAATATAGTAACGAATGGGTACGGAATTTATGTATGAACGGACGATGATGATGGACCGATTGTAGATTCTCTCGTCGTAGGATAGATGGCGTTAACATTTACTAATGAAGTTTTGATGGTATTAATCAAAATATCTTTATTCAAATTGGAGCAATAGTACAAGTTTTTTGATTTGTCCAAAAACTTTTTCCCCTACCACTCCTTGTTGGACATATTTTTTAGCTGCGAAGAAAAACGAGTGAAATAAACTGCACAACAGAAGAATAATGTAACAACATTTTATTATTTATTATTCATTCTTTGTTCAATAGATGTTATGCTGGCCCTTCGCTTGGCTGTTCCTGTTTGCTATTTGTAAATTAGTCAACAGTCTGTCCTCATCATGCTTTATAAGGAATGAAAAGGACAGACTGAGGTCAAGTTTACAAATAGCAAACACGAATAGCCAAGTGAAGTGCCCGCATTACGTCACTCAGAATCATTCATTTATAACTATAAGACTAATTTTGTTGAGCTTAGATTTGATACCATAATTGATCTTAAACCTCCATGTTATATTTAGTGGTCTTTCATGTTAGGCGATAAATGCTTGCACTCGATCAGTATAAATCATCGAATTTTCATTCATTATCGAGCACGAGTTCAAGCTATTCTCGTCCGAAATTCAATTGTACGTAACTGCAGACTAATCTCGAAATAATTAAATTTTCAGTGCTTTTAATTCATATTAATAATATAAATATAAATCTCTATTCTTGATATGTATATAAAAATGTCTCTGCCACTTTTCACAAACATGTTGAGAGTTGTATTTTATGATGCTAGGTGGACGGAGCGACCAACCGACGTATTGTAACGTTAACGGAAAGACCGTTGAAAGCATCTCGATGATGCGCTTGAACGGAATGGGTGACCTAGTCGGTGAGCAATGTTAGAGATGATGACGATGTGACACGCGAGCGACGCTTTATTCATTTTCCGACCACCTATCATTGTTCTTGCTTATGCTGAACGCTTGATGCCAGGGCTTTTCTTGCAAACTAACACACGTCGGCTTATTAGGTTTTAAAAACACTGGGAATTCGCTAATTCATTTGCGGCAATTAAAAAAATTAATTGATGTTTTTCGTACCAACTTTTACTATAATTGTATCACTTGGCTATTCGTTTTTGCTATTTGTAAACTTGAGAACAGTCTGCTCTGATCATGCATTAAAAGGAATGAAAAGGAAAAACTTATGTCAAGTTTATAAATAGTAAACACGAATAACCAAGTGAAGTGCCGGCATAACAAAAAAGATATGCAAAATACGAATAGTATATTCAGGTGTAACTACACACTGGTGTCGATTCTGGCGTGATGCTCTAAACTTGAAATTAACAATATTGTATCTTTGTCATTCTCTATACATTATGAAAAGGAGACACTGATGTTAAATTTAGTTTTAAGTTTAGAGAATCGTGCCGGTGTTGACACCAATGTGTACACCTGAATATGCTGCCCTTTTCAATTCGCTTTCCTATTACAAGTCTGCTGGAAGAAATTACAGATAATAATTTTAGAATCACTATCTATTCACATTTGTGTGTACAAAATGTTTAATAAATAAAATAGCAGCGCACTGCTGATTTGCCACTATTCAGTATCTAATCAAGACGATTGGTTCCTCATCTAAAAACCACAATATATACATTTCCTTTAAACTTCTTTACCCAAAATTCTTAACACGTTATCTAAATCAGATAAACAGTTCCAAATAAGTATCTTTATAAAAAGAGTCCAGTGATGATTAACCTTTGTTTGGAAAAAGAACTATGCAAGAAGAGTTCTCTGTGATAGATATTGGTTTTGTTGCGCATTTTAGTATATTATTTTAACCATTGTAATCACTCATCTGCTTAGAAAATTAATTTAGGATCTTGAGTTTCTGGAAGATATTGGATATAAAAGAGATAGAAAACATTATAAAAAAAAAGGTACTTTAAGATAAAATAATTAACTTATTTTAATCCAGGAAATTTGGGATCTTAAAATAGACATAGAATTTCATAATCGGACTAGTTAAACATTGTTTTGTCTTTCTTTCATCGAATTATAAATGCTATTTGTCTGATTAGAAAAAAAAAATACTTTGTCTTTAGTTCAATCAGCCATACAATTGCACACTGTAACTAACATCTTAAGTATCTTTAGAAAACGTAATGTTGTTTGTTAAGTACATCAATTTAAAAGTAAACTTCTTTTCGATTCATAAAGCGCAGTAATTTTGCTTATTCTGAAGCGCAATACACACCAAAGCCGGGCTGCTAATACTGCCCGGTGACCTACCTAACAATCATGTCATTTTATAACAAATAGTCTAGGCTTGTTATTTTCGAGTAGGTGAACGCGGAAAGATAATACACGTTAAATAATATAATGCAACACAAAAAAGGTACGGACCAAGAGTCCGAAGACTTATAGAAATATAAAAAAAAAACATGACGGCTTTACCTGCATATTTTTTTTAGTTGACCGCGACATCCAAACGGCGATAGTTAATTGTCAAAAAAAGTTGCACAGCTCAAGTCGCCGACGCCAAAATTTTCCGCCTTTTAATGTCGCGAATAGCCTAAATACACAAGTCGGCGGCTCGGCGGTGGCGGCACGGCTTTAGTGATGTATTGCCATATAAAATAAAAGTATATGAAGAAAAATATTCCTTGCTTCTATAACAATTACAGACAACTGTACCCTTGGCATGAACCAATATCGAATTCGTAACGTTTGCGAGCCCGAAATGTCATTGTCGAATGTGTACTGATTTTTAGTTCTCGTTACGTTCTTTGTGGCGCTCCTGTTCAAGTTTCCATACAAATTTTGACATTGACATTTCGCACTCGTAAACTATACGAATTCGATAATGGTTCGTGCTAGGGGTACTGAATATGATTGACCGGAACAGGCGATATTTTATAATGTACTCCTTATACGTAAATATTGACATTGAAAAATTCCCACAGAACGGCTGATCAAATCTTACTTCTACATCGTACGCAAATCCATACAAGACTCAGTACCCAAAGCCGTGATGCACTTCCTAGTGAACTACGTGCAGGACAACTTGCAGTCGGAGCTGGTTACGCATCTCTATAAATCGGACCAGGCTGAGAGTCTGCTCAACGAGTCTGAGCACATCGCTCAAAGGCGGAAGGAGGCTGCTGATATGCTCAAGGTTTGATTTTATCACACCCACTTTCTGTTGAAAACGGCTAATTGTTAATTTTTCAGTCATATTCCTTGTGATGCAGTAAAAATCAATTGCAGTTCGTTAGTCTCGCTATAACTCGAGAACGGCTGGACGGCTTTATCTTATCTTGGTCTTGAAATGTTTGTGGGGGTCTAGGGAAGGTTTAAATGGTGAGAAAATATGGAAAAATTGCGAGAAAGATAGTAAAAATACAATTTCATTTGTCCATATAAGTCAAATTATTGTAAGCAGTACGAAGTACGCTGGGTCAGCTAGTAAAGAATATAAAAGTGCATCCGAGCATTTTTTGTGTTTCATGAAGTTCAAAACCAACATATAAATTTCGTAATATAAGTCTTCTTTGCTTTTTTATTTTGAACAGGAAAGGAGACGGTTTTTATTTGTATGGAGGGTGGTAGTCTGTCTTCGTTAGACTCCAATTTTTTGTGAAACGTAGGGCGCCTTATTATAAATTGTTTGCCAAAAAATTAGAATTTATTTTATCCCCGTTTTTTTTATATAATTATTATAATATAATCTTATGTTTTTATTTATTTGCAAATGGCAAGTTTTTTTATCGATTGTTTGTTGCCACAGCATTAAATATATTCTATTCAATAGGTAACTAAAGCACTGATAATGATTCTGTTCATCTTTCATTACATTATTAGGTATTTTCTGGGTATTTTATTTCAAGAATCAATCATAAATTTGTATAATAAGTTCAACACGAATATCATGCATAACTGGACTTATTAACACACACTAAAATATGACTTTAATATTGGCAGGGTGACCAGCATCCTTACAAAATAATTCAATTTTTGAACACGATTTAAAATTAATCAAAGATAAATAAAAAGTTAGTTCATGTTATACTATAAAACAAGCTTTCAAATTATATATCTTTCTTTGCTACCGGAAACCGACTACCACTTGGACCTTCTTTCGTTTTGTGAGATTATATTGACGACCTCCGTAGTCGAGTGGTTTGTACGCCGGGCTTCATGGTGTCGCCGACTCGATAGGTCCCGGGTTCGAATACCTGTGGGGGCTGATGTTGGTGTGATGAATACGAGCATTTGTACTCCAGTCATGGATGTTCAATATGTATTTCTATATAAATATACTTACATATGTACTGTATCATATTCTATCCGTTACCCTAGTATCCCATAATACAAACCTTACAGTGCTTACTTTGGGGCTAGGCTAATTGGTGTGAGTGTTGGAAATACATATTTATTTATTTTATTTTTATTTTGAAAATTTAACGAACAACGTTCTGCCTAAAATATATTTTGACACTTTTTTATTTTGTTAACAGGCTCTGCAACGCGCGGGACAAATAATAAGCGAAATTCGGGAGACGCATATGTGGTGATGGAATCCCAAGTGTGAGACTCTAGTCTGTGAATTAGTGAATTCGAGCCACCGGCTCTGTACATACTCTCCTTAACATAGGCAAATTATGTGCATTATGCTTATATACTTACGAGACTTTACACAGTTATACCTACATTTGCTTCTAGCATATTTTCTGAAGCTCTCTTATAAGTATTAAGCAATCGGACATTATCTGATTAGGTCAGATCCCTGAATTAAGTAAGTGAATATCGGATCAGATCAGAAAATGTGGAAGATAGCAAATGCTTGTCACTTTTATTTATCCATAGTTTTCAAATAATGCACTGCATGTTTAAATCGGAAGATTTTAAAAAGGAGTTCCATTTTAGTAGAAATGTAATTCAGTAGGCATTTTAATAGTGTACTTATATAGCAAAGTATCTTTATGGATTTTAAAATATTGTGCCAGCTTTTGAATTAGTCATTGAATGGGTTATTGCACAAATCCGACACCGTCGTCACTTTGTTACCATGTTCACAGATTTACAATAGTAAGGTAGGCTAACGAAGTGTACTCCATTTTACTAGTAGTTTTATCCAGTGATATTAATTGTAACCTCACTGTATCGATATTAGTGTTGACCGTGTGTCGCGTAATGTATTGTGAACCTATTTCTCGTTAGCTATTTTGATTGCAAGCTTTTTTGCAAACAGGGTTGGATATTTAGTTAGTGTTTGTCCAATGTTTGTGTCTCTAGACTCTAGACGAACAATTACTCACGGCAAATTTGACCATGCATAGTATTTTTTAATTAAATTAAGTTCCTTCAAATGAATTAGTTACGGATTCCAAATGCTGTGTTATTTTAAATTTGTTTACGGTTTTTTCGAGTCAATTTGTGTCATTATCAGCGATTTATGTGATTCTATTTGAAACTACGATTTATTAACTGTAGAGTATTCCGATGTTACAATATATTTATTGTTAGTCCAAGGTGTGATTTGCTTTATCAATCGATAAAAACCTATTTGAATGTTACGTTCTAGGTAAGATTGTATTTAAAAGTCTGTTAACTACTAAAATATATTGTCATTTTAAAATCTTTGTTTTATTTACTTTCTAGATTTTAATATCCAACAAAAAATTAATAAAGGTCAAGACTTTTTGATTGATGGCCTTACGAAATGTTGTTGATGAGATGTACTAACTAGGTATGGCATTGGAACACATTATGTAGGTCGATTGCTTTCGGACTCATACGAACGAATTTGCATCCAATCAGAGCTTTATGCAGCCAAATCATCTCAAACGGCATTATGATCATCATAATCAGCCGATGGACGTCCACTGTTGGACATAGGATTTCTCTAGGGATTTCCAAACACAACGGCTGTGCGCCTTCCACACATAGAGGTATAAGAATAGAGTAGGGGAGATATAGAATACTACAAGTGGAAATGTCCCTCTAATAGAAAGAGAAAGAAGATGCGAGACCGCTAGCTTTCTCTCTAATCGCGCATGCGCATTGGCAACCGTAAGCATCTTACTGTTTCGATGTGATGCTATTGGATGCCATGCGTCACAAGAGAGAGAGATAGCTAGCGGTCTCTCATCTTCTTTCTCTTTCTACTAGACGGACACTTTTAGAGCCACCTTCCCCACTCTATTCTTATACCTCTATGCTTCCACATCCAGTGGGGCTCCCCGACGCGCTTGATGTCTTTACAGACGTCATATAAAAATCTTATATTGTTGCCGAAACAGTAAAACAATTGTTTTTACGTACGTCTTTGTCGTTACGCTCTCCGCAGAGCGGACATTGACGTTACTTATAGTCCAGTCAATGCACGGAAAAAATGGAAATCAATGGCAATTCTGCCAAACAGAACAAAATAAAACACGTTTACCGGGCGTTTTTTTTCCAAGAATAGCTGAAAATAAGTATTTTATGAAATAAAATATTTGCTGTAAAATTGTAGCGCATAAAAAAACAAACAAAATACTGGGTTCAAAATACTACTTGAATAGTAATGGAGTAATAGCTGGTTAACGGTTGGTTTTTCGTCAAACGCCAAAACCGAAAGTTTCAACGTGACATCCAAAAACAATGCATTTTTCGGGGAAACCTCAGAGATTTTGTTGAAGTTGTTTTTAATGCAAGTTTTTTTTTTTTTATAGTTAGGTCCGACAAATGACTCCACCCCACCTGATGTTAAGTGAAGGTGAAGTCCAGACGCGAAGATAGCTGATACAGCAGTTCTACCTGCCACACCAGCCATCCTCACCCTGCCGGCCTGCATGTTGCTTCTTCACGCCTCTTTTAAAGGATCCCAGGTTGTAAGAGGGAGGGAAACACGTGAGCGGGCAGAGCATTCCATTTACGGATAGTGCGACAAAGAAATGAGTCACCAAATTTCTTTGTACGCGTTGGAATTGTGGCCACAGTAAGACGGTGACAACGTAGGCCAGCGCGCGTGGTCCTCTGAAGGAAAGGGGAAGGTGGGATAAGAGAGAATAACTCCTCAGAACACTCGCCGTGGTACAAACGATAGAACGCGCTTAGTGACGCCACGTCACGGCGTAATTGAAGAGGCTCAAGGTGTTTAGTCACCTCCTCATCGCCTATGATGCGGATTGCGCGCCGCTGTAACCTATCCAAAGCATCGAGCAAGTACTTGGCGGAGCCATCCCAGAGGTGCGAGCAATATTCCACGCAGGACCGCACTTGCGTTTTGTACAACAAGCACAGTTGATCGGGCGTGAAAAAACGCCGCACCTTGTTCAGGACTCCGAGTTTGCGTGAAGCTGTTTTGATCACGGTTTCGATGTACTCCTTTGGATTCAGGTCTGAGCGAACTTCCATACCGAGCATGGAAATGTTGCTCTGCAGCGGTAGTGTTGTGCCCTGAAGAGATGGAAGGGGAAGGAATGGCGATGTTTTTGCCGTGAAAGCGCAAGCCTGAGTTTTCTTGGCATTGAACCCAACCAAGTTCCTGGTACCCCATTCGGAAATGTGGTCCAAAGCCTGATTGAGTTCAATGACAAGATTTTCCCGTTTCTCCCTGGTTACTGCCTGCCCAGCCGCTGCTTGTCCGAGATACCCCGCATGCACTGTACTATCGTCTGCATAGCAATGAATATTCCCAAGAGGAATCAAGTCATTGATATGCAGCAGAAAGAGAGTGGGGGATAGGACGGAGCCCTGGGGAACGCCGGCATTCACTGACATGAACCGCGAACTGCTACCATCCGTAAGGACACGAATTCTACGCTCATGCAGGAAGTCAGCTACCCAAGAACAGAACTGGGCTGGCAGACCGTATGCCGGAAGCTTGGAGAGAAGGCTTTTGTGCCAGACCCTGTCGAACGCCTTGGCAATGTCAAGGCTGATAGCCAACGACTCGCCACGCTTGTCGATAGCCTCACCCCAGATATGAGTTAAGTACGCTAGAAGATCACCCGTCGATCGTTTCGGTCTAAATCCATATTGACGATCATTAATCAGGGAGTGATCCTCTAGGTAGCGGGTCAGATGGTTATTAAGGACCTTTTCTAGAACTTTACATAAAACTGAGGTGACTGCTATTGGCCGATAGTTTGCCGGGTCTGAGCGATCCCCTTTTTTGGGCACCGGTTGCACGTTAGCATCTCTCCAAGTCTCCGGCACACGCCCCAAAGAATACGAGCATTGGTACAAGCGCGTGAGCACGGGAGACAACTCCGCTGCACATTTTTTAAGTACTACTGCTGGGATGCCATCAGGTCCACTAGCTTTCCGGACGTCGAGTGATTGCAATTCGGCACGAACCTCACGCTGCCTGATTTTAATATCAGGCATCGTTGTGCCACAGTGAGGTAATGATGGTGGCAGTGCATTGCAATCATCGATTCGGGAGTTAGCCGCAAAGAGTTTTGCCAGTAAATCGGCTTTCTCCTGCGGCTTATGAGCTAGTGTTCCGTCTGGGCATCTCAGAGGTGGCAGCGAGGGCTGGCAGAAGTTTTTTTGCACGGCCTTGGCCAAACGCCAGTAGCTACGGGAGCCCGCAGGATGTGTTATAAGTTCCTGGCCAACACGTGCAACACGCCGGGCATCCGCTCTGATGTAAGCCTTCTTACAGGCCTTGGAAGCAGAATTGTAGGCTGCTTTGAGTGAATCGACCCCGGGATCCTTGAGAGCGCGGCCTCTGATCCAAGCACGATATGCCGCTTGCTTACACGAAGCAGCTTCAGCACAGTCGTGATTGAACCAGAGGTTATGTGTGCCCTTACTGATGAGATCAGAATGAGGAATATAGTATTCCATACCCATTATAATCTCCTCAGTAATGGCAACGGCACTGCCCGATAGGTCCCTGTCACTGAAGCAGCGCTGCTTCCAAGGGACGGACGCAAAGTAATCACGCATACCGTCCCAATCTGCCGACCCATAATGCCAGATACGGCGCTTGACCACTGCTGGACGCGGAGGCTTGGCCTGTGGTGCTTTGGCAGATATCAGGCAGTGGTCGGACGAGCCCAGGGGGGCTCTTACCACAACCTGATAGCCCTGTGGATGGGTCGTGAGCAGAAGGTCCAGTAAAGAAGGCGCTTGACTTGGAATATCTGGGATCCTGGTGGGCTGATCAACCAGTTGCTTCAAGTCATGCGTGAGAGCGAATGTGTGAGCAGAGATCCCTGCATGGTCAGTTTTGGAAGAACTTAACCACAAATTGTGGTGAGCATTAAAGTCCCCCAAAAACACCAATTCTGCATTGGGAAATCGCTCCTGCGCGTCATCTGCTGCCCGACTAAGGTGTTCAAAAAGTCGAGTTGTCTCAACATCACCGGTGTGGGATCTGTAGAGGCACACGTAGACTCTGGCCCGGGGGCCAGAGTCGACGTGTACCCCCAGCATGGAGAAGGAGGGATCTTCCAAGCAGCGGAGACGGCGACAACAAACATCCGCCCGAACATACAGGCATACACCGGCTTTCGCTTTGAAGGACTCTTCAAGCACGTAGCCGGGATAATTAAAGTAGCTTGTGTCAGCAGGCGGAAGTATTTGTGTCTCCGTCAGGAACTACAATGCTGGCCGTGCTGTCTCGAGATGGTGGTGGACAGCGTTGAGGTTAGAGTGGAGTCCGCGTATGTTGCAGAACTCGACCTCAAACAGCGTTGAAGGCGTGGGGGTGTGCACCGCTGTACGTCCAAACTTTGTTATTGAGGCTGCCATGGTGGAAGTGAAAAAAAAAGAGACGCGAAAACGAGCGGACGCCGTCGCGAAGAGTCCGGGCAAATAAGGGGGGTTTGTCTTCCCGATTGACTGCCTGCAGTGGAAATGCGCCGACCCGCCGGACGGAAGGTGCCAACCGACACGACGGTCGGCACGACGGTCCACCCCGAGATTATGCGTGACATGATGGGGCAGCCTCGCGAACTGGTTAGGAACGCTTGGGCCCCTGTACTGTGCCACGGGCGGCCAGCGGGACAGCCGTTTCTACGGGTCTCCCTGGCCGACGGGTCGATGCAGTCCTCCCGGCATCGGTTCCACGGATGCCTCCCCTGGACCGAATCCTTCGCGACAACTTCCACTCGAGCTCTGGTTGTACGCTGGCTGACCCCGAAACGCGCGAGAAGCACTTTACGGGTTTTTCACCATGCGCACTGTTATAACGAGTCCCGGGGTTGAGGTTTTAAAAAATGAAACAATGTTAAGTCGGATTAATTGGCACACAACCGTCACGAACAGTGGTTAAAATGGGACTGACTGCTGGCCGATGTCGCAATAGCGACGCTGGCCTGAAATGCTGATGCGGCAGCATCAGTTATTACTGTAAGCTGTTTCATGAGCATTTCAGGGGTGTAACATCTCCCCCCTAATGGAAATAAACTTAGGGGTAAATCCCTTAAGTTTATGAAACAAGGGAAAAACTG